GGTTAGAAGGTGGAGGCATATCTGCCCTGCTCTTCTCAGAGGAACTAGCCTCGAGCTGATCCATCTGAAAGAAATTAAAGTGATGTTATGGAAAAAAGAGGAGCAAAAAAACCCAAAGGTACATACAGGGGGAAAAAACAAGATGAATTCAACCATATCAGTAATTATATTAAATGTAAATGATTTAAATGTACCAGTTAAAAGCCAGAGATTGTCAAGTTGGACTAACAAGACAGTAACAACAAGGTCCAACTATTTGCTGTCTACAGAAATCCACTGTAACCCTTTCATAACTTGTGAGACATCCAAGAGGGCTTCAAAACATTTGTAGGGGAAATGGAATCAAAAGATCATAGAATTTTCCATTCATTTTTGGAAGCCCTCTCATATATCACCTACCAATATTTTCAGCTTCTCAGGTTCCTGGGGAAGTTGCTATCACAGTTGTTGCATGTGACTGCCTGGCAGGGCCCTCAGTAAACAAGCCTCAACCCCATGAATTCTTCCCCCAGAATCCACTTGGGATATATGTGCCCAACATAATTGTACCCAAACCCATAGTATCTAAAAATTTTTTCCTTGAGTTCAGCATCTCTTCTGTTACTGAAAACACATGGTATTAATAGAAAATAATTTGGTTATAAATGATCAAAAGTAAAAATATGCAAAAAGATAAACCATATACACAATATCAAATGGTGCTATGTTAACAGCATGGATTTTGAAGCCATGTAGCTGGCTTCACCTCCCAGCTCTAACATTTATTGACGGTAAGCACAGGCAAGTTGTTTAGTGTACTGTGCCTCAATTTCCTCATTTAAAGTACAAATTATACACACTGTGTATAAAGATGATACTGCTACTTAAGTGTATTAGTATTAAGGAGCCCTGGTGGTACTGTAAGATAAGCACTGGACTACAAGGTTAGTGGTTCTAACCCAGCAGCTGCTTAACGGGAGAAAGATGAGGTTTTCTGCTCCCATAAAGATTTACAGTCTTAGAAACCCTATATGGGGTTGCTATGAGTTAGAATCAATTCGATGGCAGGGGTTATTGGGACATTAAAGTTGTTTACAAATATTCCTGTTTTCCTTCTGGAAACACACAGATCAGACTGTACTCACCTATCCCCTTAACACTTTCATGACCCATGGAACAGAGAGTGATCACCTACATATGGAGTTTAGTGGGAATCTGGTATCCCACTTTTAGTGCATGCTGCCATCTGGTGGGGACTTGTATAACTGTGAATCTGAAGAAACAAGCCTCATCTCACGAACCCCAGCACCTGAGACCCCCCCTTGAAACATGCGTGTCTTGTTAATTGTATCAAATTCCATGCTATATATATATTTTTTTTTAAGTTCATTTCATTCAAAATGTCTTCTATTACTGAAAACACATGGTTTCCACACAAAAAATTCAAAGCAGAAAATAATTCCGTCTTGAAAGAGTTGAAAATAGAAGTGTTCATGTGACTTCCTACATGGGTACACCTAGGTGAAAACTGTAAGAGCCGGTGTCTAATTTGCCTGATACTCTTTCAACAGTGGATCTCTCCTTAAGATTTGGAGACTGACGACGGTATAACATAACCTCTCCTGACTCATTCGCTTACACATAGGGTTGTTGAGAGGAATCAGTAGGTTAAGGCACGTAAGAGGTAAGAGATTTGGAATACAACCTATAGAGTAAAAAGTGCTTCCTAAAAAAAACCACCCTAATTATATCCCACATTAGAAATGCAGCTGAGACTTGCAGAACATAAAGAGCTTCCCCAAGATCAAAACAACACAATCAGAATATGAACTCCAGCAAAGAACACCTTCGTTAACCTCTGCATAATGCTGTCTCAGTAAGAACTTGCTATATTTGCATGCTTAGTGATGCAAAAGCAATTTCAATTTCTTCCCATCCAGGGAAAGATGTGTGAATCTTGGAAGAGAAGCAAGCTGGCCCTGGGTTCAACAAGGACAGCTCACCTGCTCAGCCTTACTGCTGATGATGACCAGATGAGAGTAATTCTCCTGGCAGAACTTCCGGGCTATATCCCATGTCTTGGTGCTTTTGGAGAAGTAGTAACACTTGTCCTCGAAGGGAAGCCAGTCCTTGGGACAGGTCATCTTGAGAGAGTCTAGAGATAGGATAAGATCTTATCAGGTTGTCCCCAGAGCCAGGGCCATGTGCATGATAGGTCATGTACAGTTGTTCAAGCTGTGCACTGTTCAGCTCCAGAAGGCACTATTCACACAGACTACACTGAGAATGGTTCTCATAGAGTTCATGCAATGTGCTGGCTCTGCCATCTCCCATCTATGGACAATTACCCAGGTTGCACTCACCCACTAAGACCTGAAGTTCCACCAGGGACTGGTTAGTATCCGTTCTTATGCGGTCAATGTCCTTCTTCAGGCCAGCTAGCCCTGCCATGCCCATCACTGTCAGCAGAGATGGACTAGAGAGTTAGACACCCAGCTGTGCTCCCAGGTCCTAGAGGGTGATACTAAAACTCATAAAAACCATACTCATGCCCAGAGGGAGTCCTAGAGGGACTCCGAGGTTAGTAATCCCTGAAGCTTAAGAGGAATAAGGGCAGAAGGCTTCCTGGAGGAAGTGGGCTTTGAAGGAAAAAAGTGAGTCCATAACTATTAGAAGAAAAGGGAGGCAAAGCAGGCAAGGACAACTTCAGGAACAAAGGTGTGGGGCAAACAGATTGGGGAAGGCTGATGCAGCAGGAATGGAGGGAAATACTAGAGAAATCTGGCCTCCAAGGTGAGGTCTGATGGCTGGGTCCTTGAACACCAAGCCAAGGCTTTGTCATTGGAGCCTGGGCACTGAGGAGTCACAGATGGCATTGGAGCAAGAGAGTGACTTTATAGAGGGATGGGTTGGGGCATGTGAAATGGAGCAAAATCACGACAAACTGGAACCTGACCCAGAAAACTCTTATCCAATTAGTGTGACCGTGTCTCAAAAACTTGGCTCTCTTCCAACTTCCCCTAACTCATTAGATGGTCCTTCAATTGCCCAAGAAAGAAATATGTTATCCTTGACACCCCTCCTTCTCACACATCATCATTCCCAATCCAGTCTCAAATCCTATCACATTTACTCCCTAAACTTCTTTCGACTCCACCCATTTCTCTCCATTTCCTGGCCACCACCTTTATCCAAGTCACCAGCATCCTTTCTTGTACTTGTGATGCTGCCTCCTACCACAGTGCCTTTGCATATGCCTAGAGCCTCATCTCTCACCTATTTAATGCCTTTACTTCCTTCATTCAACTGCAGCAGCACTTAGCTAGGGAACTGCTTTATGTCACTCCCCTCCCCCAAAGAGAAGGTCAAGACCCCTAGTTAGACATTTCATAGGATTAAACTCCTCTCTCTTTGGACTATTCATCAACATTTGGAATTTTATACCCATTTGGGTAATAATTTGATTAGTGACTGTCTGCCTGTTGGAAACCCTATACAGGGTTACTGTGAGTCAGAACCAACTCCACAGTGCCCAGGACAGGACAGGATCTATGCCAGCACTGTCTGGTAGAATAATAACGTGAACCATATATATAATTTTTATAACCAAATTTTTTAAAGGTAAAATCCATTTGAATGATATTTTTACTTATCTCAATATATTCAAATACTACCTTTTCGATGTGCAATCAATGTAAAAATTTTTATGAGAATTTTTTTACATACTTTTTTCATAGTAAGTCTTTTGAAATTGATGTGTATTTTACACTTAAAGCACATCTCAGTCTGGACTGGCCCCATTTCAAGCACTCAACAGCCATCCATGGTGACGGTGGTAGTGGTGTGCCGTGGAGTCGGTTCAGCGACACTGTACAGGGTTTCGGAGGCTGTAAATCTTTACGGGAGCAGAAAGCCTCATCTTTCTCCCACAGAACAGCTGGTAGTTTCGAACTGCTGACCTTGAGGTTCTCGGCCTGATTTGTAACCACTACACTCCTAGAGCTCCTTAGCCATCCATGGATCATGGCAATCAGATTTCACCATGCAGGTCAGACACATACACACAGTGTGCAAGTGCACAAGAACGAGGACTGTTTCTGATGTGTTCATCATTCCAACCCCAGTACCTCACACACAGCAGTAGGTGCTCAATATAGGTGGCACGAAGGAATGCCTAAAAGTACTCACCATTTTTTTGCCATGCCGTCTGCTGAAAGGTTACCGTCCTCAGTTCTTCCACCACTGCCTGGTCTACAAAGGAAAATCCACTTTGGACCCAGGCCATCCCGTACCTCATGCCAACATCCCCCACACTTCATCCTATCCCTACTCACATTTAATCAGGGTCACAGCCAGGCCAGTGCACCCCAGGAGCAGTGAAACCATCACCAGCAGGTACAGACACACCTGTAGTCTGTTCTCCCAGCAGCATCCAAGACCCCCAGGCTTCTGGCTGGGCCTGGGCATTGGAGTTGCTGTGGAGAGGCAGGAAGTAGAAAGACTGTTAAAGTGCTTTGGAGAGGGAGGAAGGGATCCTTGAGTCCTTCTCCAAAAAGAGGGGACAGAGGTGTGTAGTCCATATCACCTGCTGGGGTCAGCAGGAATGTCAGGGAAAGTGAGCACCAAACATTTATGGAATTTTGCTGTGCATAAAGAATCATGCTTTTACCTTATTGGATCCTCACCCTTATGACATCAGTAAAAGTATTATTCCCATTTTGCAAATAAGAGCCAGCTGTGCTCTTAACAGCTAGGATACATTCATTAGCTTTTAACAAATAATTTTATGAAATAGAAGAATAAACACAGAGGGGACATATAGAAAAAAATTATAATGTATAGACCTAAATCAAATCCTAAGTAATTACATTAAACATAAATGGTCTAAATAATTTTAAAATGGAAATTATAGAAATATTTTCACATCATATCTTCCAAGCCTTGGGACCCTGGGACCCTGAGGGTCTGCCTAAACTCAGTGAAGAGCAGCCTCTGAAAGGGAAAAGGTTCCTCTGTCCCCAGGTCTGATTCAAACACCCTGTTTGATGAGGAAGGAGATGGTGCACACTAGCAGGTGACATGAACTTACTGACTGGAGGTGGCTGGGATGGAAAAGGTTCCAGACCAATACCTGGGAGAAAGAAGCAAAGAAGTTTATGCACAATTTGCCTAATGACTAGCATACAAGAGTTTCCCTATCTCTCAGCTTTGTTTTCTGATCAGAATTGGGGAACTGGAGGAATGATGGGTTGTGAGACCCTACCAGAGCCCCCTCTCAGGCTTCTCAAAGTATCTTTCCACCACTCACCCAGTTGAGATGTGTAGGAAACAGGGGTGACGTCCAACCCTGAAAGAGGTCAGAAAGATAAGGGTAATGAAGAGAAGGTCTTCAGCAAGGTGAATCAGAAGGCCTCAGTCGTTCCCCCCCTCCCACCCCCGACTTTCACCTGTCCTCTTCCGGGTCTTGCCTGGATGTGAGACTTTCTTCATTTTCTTTCCTGGGGAAGAATAAAATTTTGGTCAATCTCTGCAGAGCAAAGTCAGCACTGGGTCTCCTGCACCTCTAGCCCCAGCTCACCTGCCTTTGGAGGTCTTGGTGGAGCCATAGAATCTGGAGAAGAGAATTTCAGGTTTAGGACTTAGACGTCTGAGGATGCAAACAAGATTGAGGGATGGGATTGAAGATAGAGTTGGGTATAGAATGAAACTGAGTTTGGCATGGACACAGGGTTAAGGTAGCTGTCAAGGATTGCCTGGGGCTTTCCCACTTTTCCTAGATACAGAGAAGGAAAGAGAAGGAGAAGTATGAAGTGGGGGTCAGGTCTGTTAGAATGATAAAAATGTTTTTCTCCACATGGAGGAATGACACTTTTGGTTACTTGAATTTTCCAATTTTTCTACAGTGAGCATGTACTATTTGTATAATTAACAATTTTAAAGATACAATTTTTAAATGGTTTATTTTTAAATAATTATGGTAATATTTGGACGTTGAGAAGGCCATGGACAATACAAGATGGACCCTGCCCACAACAGACTAGGGGAGAACCAGAGTACCCTACTGAGCAGACCTGGGCCAGGCAAACAAACAGAAAACGGACTTTGTGGAAACATCAATTAGAACCCATTTGTTGTTGTTAAGGGCTGTTGAGTCGCTTCCAATCCATAGCAACCCTGTATAGGGTTTCCAAGGAGTCACTAGTGAGGTTGAACTGCCAACCTTGTGGTTCAAACCGACTTTGCAGTCCAGCACATTAACCCACAGCACCACACCAAAACCCATTAATTGTTACAAAAACAACCCCATCCATCATAGATTAGGTATTTTTTCCTGGATCCCTTATACATATCCTTAGATGTAAACATTAAGTATATAATCCCCTCCCCCAAATTTCTGTGTGACTTGGCTTGTCACCACCCACCATGATGATCTTGGTGCTAACCACTGTAAGTTCCCTAGTGAAAGCTAGATCTGGTCAATCTACTTTCTTCCACCTCTTTTTTTTCTGAATCTTCCCTGTGCCCCTTTGAGCCACTCCTGCTGCTGGTGGGGGTGGGGTGGGGCAGGGTACCACAGACTTGCATATCCTTGCATGAATCTTACCTCAGGCATTGTTTTGTTAATAGAATATGATAGAACATTACACTTAGGGCCAATGATTTAGAATTTTCATTTCTAGATTTTTTATAACCATGTGATACAGACATAGTATCTTTTTCCTTTCTAATCAATTAATACATTACTAATCAATTAATACATTTAATGGAGTCCTGGTATGGTGCTGTGGGTTAATGCGCTAGACTGCAAAGTCAGTTTGAACTGCAAAGTTGGTGGTTCAAGCTCACCAGTCGCTCCTTGGAAACCCTCTAGAGGGTCACTATGTGTCGGAACCGACTCCACGGCATTTAACACCAACAACAACAATGTTTTTAAATCGGAAACTCTCACATCCATGGATACTCCTCAGTCCAGAACAAATTGAGATGGTTGGTCACCCTAAGTTAAAGACACCATTGAGTTTGGGGGTGGGAGTGGAGTCGGAATGAAAGTGGGGTTTGGTATGGAGCTGAAGTTGAGATTCGAATTGGAGTTTGGGTTGGGAGGATGATAGGGCTGTGAATGTGGCCTGGGATAGTAGTATCATGGAGATGTGGATGGTGTTGTGATTCAGGATGTGGTTGGAATGAAGAATGGTATCATAGCTGGATTGGGGAAAGAAAAAGAAGTTGAAGTTGGGTTATAGTTGGGTTGGAAGATGATGACGAAGTTAGGTTTGGGAATGGAAATGTGGATGAGGCTGCATTTAGGGATGGAGAGAGCCTACCTCAGGAAGGGGATAGCCCTGAAGTTGGAAATGAAGTTGGTCTTAGAGTTAAATTTGAGGATCATATTGTGACTAGGGTTGGATTGAAGATGAAGTAGTCAAACAGCAAAACCCAGCTTATCTCCTACCTCATGATAACCTACACACATACACACACACACTGTCCCTTGATCAGGTGGCCTCACTCTGCACTTACAAACAGAGGGCACAGTGTCCCATCCCACATGGAATGACTACTCTCCAAGGATGCAGTCAGCCTGAATCGCTAAAACCTAGGGATCTCATGGACTCAAATGCCCTGATAGGAGTTATGTAGAGAAACTTTCCAAGAATACACCTATATCTACTTATCAGACTTATTGGGAGTCCTGGTGTGGCACTGTAGGCTCAGCATTGGACTGCTAACCACGAGGTTGATGGTTCAAACCCATCAGCCGCTCCTTGGAAAATCTACACAGGGTCGCTATGAATCAGAACTGACTCGATGGCACTTCACAACAACATCAGACTTACTGAGCCCTGGGCCAAGCCTCAGTCTTGAGCGTGAGTGTGTGGAGACAGGAGTGCCAGAAGTCAATTCAAATTTCCTCAAACCCATCAGTTTTCATGTCTTGAGCCTTTGTACCAACTGATTCCCTCCTGGGCTTGTCTTCTTATCGCATCCTTCCAATTTCTACCCATCCTTTCAGTTCTGCTCCAATGTCTCCTCCTCACAAAAGCTTTCCCTGACCCCCAAGTCCTGACCACTCCAGGCAAAGGCCTCAATTGTCCCTCAGGATTCCCCTGTCATTTGGTCTCTCCCAGCCTGGTGCTGTGCCCAGAACCTCCTCTCCCATAAGACTTGAGGAAGGCACAGACAAGGATGCTCTGCCACTGTGGTGTCTGGTGTGGGACTGGACACACAAATGACTAGCTGTGTCCACAATGCCCAGCCAATGGCCCCTGAGGACGCTACTCTCCCAACCTCCAGCCCTACATCCCTCCACCTAACCTTATTGACATCCCCTTACCTGGCTTTGGAGGAAGTTCCTTGTAGGGTGGTGTCATGTTCTCATAATCATCATCCTCCATCATTCCTTCCAGAAGAGAAGCAAGTCAAAACCCAGCCCATTCCTTCCTTTTCCCTCAGGTCCTGGCCTCCCACCCAGCTGCTCAAGGATGGGGATGCTGTAACCTCAGTCCTGACCACTCCAGCCCCCAGCCCAACTCTAGTTAAGGCTGTACCCAACAATTTCTGGGACCCAGCATTAGTATCCACAGTGCACATGACTGCAGTCAACAAAGGAAGAAGGGGTTACCAGAACTCGGCAATTTTTACCCCTATCCTATCCTTCTACTCCGAGCTCTGGGTTCTCTCTGGGTTTGCCTTTCTTTTAATAGCGAAGTATTACATGCAAATCCAACCTGAAGGGAAACTCCCTCCTGCCCCCTTTCCCCTCACACACACATTCTCTCTCTCTTTCTCTCTCTCTCTCACACACACACACACACATACACACACACACATGTCTTTTTACCCAGTTGGATTTCTGTGTGAAAGTAGCCATAACAACAGCATCTGCATTAGTGAACCAGCAAAGTGCCAGGCTCTGGGTAAAAATGATGGATAAACGCTTTCCTTCATGGAGATTTCCATCTAAATAGGAGAGACAATGAACCTGGAAATAAATTTACAAGTAAGCAATATCCCACAGCCATTAAGCATTATAAAAAATAAAACAAGGCAACGGGATAGGATGAAGGCTAGTGTAGAAAAGATGTTAGGGAGGGCCTCCTAGAAATTGTGACAATTCAATTGAATAAATAAAGTGATTGGGTGTTAAGTCCTCCCATATTCCAGAGAGAAGTTCTAGGTATTGAATCAGTTACGTATCTAATGACTTAAAACTTGTTAGGTGCCATCAAGTTGATTCATTTTAAAGTGACCTTACATATAATAGAACAAAATGTTGCCCCGTCCTCTGCTGTCCTCACAATGCTATGTTTGAGCCTATTGGTGTGGTCACTGGGTCAATCCACCGAATGGGGGCCTTCCTCTTTTTTTGCTGACCCTCAGCTTTTCCGAGGATGACATCCTTCTCCGGGGATTGGAGACAACATTTCCAAAGTACTAGAAACAAAGTCTCAGCATCCTCACTTCTAAGAAGCATTCTGGTTGTTCTTGCTATTGTTGTTTATATTTTTTACTGTGAGTAGAGTGACAGTTTATAGAGTAGATCATCAGTTCCACCTACAACAAATCATACACTTTGTGTCATTAAGTAGCAGTATTTACCTCTAGTCACTTTAACTCTTGCATTCCTCCCTGTGTCTTCCACTACATCTTTTATTCTTTAACTTTTTATTGTGGATTAAGTGAAAGTTACAGAGCAGATCATCAGTTTTACATTCAGCAAATCATATACTTTGCTTCATTCCAATGATAGCAATCCCCTTTATGTATCACCAGTTAGCAGTATTGACCTCTACTCACTTTAACTCCTTGTGTCTCACACTACCTTCAGCTTCCTTATGCCAACCTCTGTCTTGTTGTATTTTGTCTTCGCCACCACCTAAATTAACATGTGTCTACCCTCTACCCAGGGAATAATTTTCCCTTCCTTCATAAATGTTTCTTTCAGTAAGAAAACACCTTCTTAACTTTTACAACATTGGTCTCATACAATATTGTCCTTTTGTGATTGATTAATGTCACCCAGCATAATGTCCTCCAGGTTCAGCGATGTTATAAAGTATTTTGCAGCTTCATCTGTATTCTTCAGTGTTGTAATGTTATTTCATTGTGTCTATGTATCAAAGTTTGTATACATTCTGCTACTTTCGGTCTCTTGACTGGAGCATTTAATCAATTTAACTAACAACAGGTATGAACTGATTGCTGTCATTTTGCTGTGTTTGTGTGTGTGTGATATTGCTAGTCTTTGTACCACATGAATTTCTGCACTGAATTCATTTTGTTTGTCGGCTTTCTTTTCATTTTCTTCATTGCTGTTGGTTTAATACTTACTAAATCTTTCTGATTTTCTTCTTTTTTATTTTGATGTGAAGGTATATTAATTTTATTTGAGGTTACCCTGTAATTTATTAATTTTTCCCCATTTAAAATAATCTGTCTGTTTTGTGGTGGGGGAAGGCGGGGAATGTGGAACAAAACTCAAACTCAAAATTATTAAGAGAAAAAGAAAAAAAAGAAAAGAAAAAAAGACTGGACTTACTGGTCAGAAAGACTGGAGGAACCGGAGACTATGGTCCTCTACCACTCTTCAGGTTTGAAAAGGAACTCACCGTTGTGACCCAATTTTCAGTCATGTAGTAGATAGCTACATCAGGGACAAGTTAGGACCCCTGGGCCCTGGGCCTCTCTTACCCCCTGGCTTTAGTCCAACAAGAATAGTAACACTGAGAACAATAGCTTGGGGACAGAGCTAAGAATATCAGGACCTAAAACCCTAATAGAAGCAGCTGGCCGCAGACAGACAACCCATAAAGATAGTGGCTAGAGCTGACAACTGCAAAAGTCACTCGATTTCCAAGAAGCCGGTGCCCCTTTCCTACAAACTGATGAATATTCAACATACCACTCATTCCTCCTAATCAATAGGTATTAGCCCACTCTTGGAGGAAGAAGACAAAGGGTCTTCTCCACTTGCAGAGACAGACCCACTTATGTCTCTGAAGTATACATTTGCTTTGACTTTATCTATGCTCCTCAATTCTACCGGGTCCCCTCCACTCGAGGAGACAGACCTGCTTCTCTCTTTGAAGTGTACTTTTGCTTTGACCTAATCTAATCTATGCTCCCTAATTCTGCCAGATCTTCCACTCATGGAGACAGACCCACTCACTCACTAAAGTGTACTTTCACTTTGAAATAAAGAGCTTCTAAATGGATAGTTATTGTTTCTGTGGAACTGAGAAGCAGCGACTCCTTCTTTAGAGCCCCAAGAGCGAGAGGGACCAGGGGAAAACGAGACAAGTATGTTGAGTGGGGAGCACCCTAGTAAGGTATGCTCACCATGGAATGGTCAATCATGCATTGTCATACATGACAACACCACCCAGAACTCAATCCCAATATACAAGTATTTAAAGTAAAACAAACCTACAAGACTGAAAATAGGGAACCAAACACATAAATGTATACTGAAGTCAAGTTGATTTCATGTTAAAACAGACTGTTTTTAGCAAGGAAATTAATAAATTATAAGGTAACCTCAAAGAAAAATAATTCACCTGCTCATCAAGATTTTAAAAAGGGGAAATTCAGAAAGATTTTGTAAATGTAAACACAACAGAAATGAAAATGAACAGAAAACCCAGAAACAAAATGAACTCAGCACAGAAAACTAATGTGGAACAAAGAATCCAGCAGCACTACACACACACACACACACACACAAAAACACAAAAATGGCAATCAAGTCATGCCTTTTGGTAATTATACTGAATGTAAATGGATTAAATATACCAGTCAAAAGACAATGAGAGTAGAATGGATAAGAAAACAATATCCTTAAATATGCTGTCTACAAGAGACACATCAATAAGATGATGGCAACATAAATGGCCATCAATAGAAGAATGAATAAACAAACTTTGGAACACACACACAGTGGAATACTACAAAACATTGAATAATAATGATGAATCTGTGAAACACCTCACAACATGGTTGAACCTGGAGAACATTATACAGAGTTAAAATAATCAATCACAAAAGAACAAATATTGTATGAGACCAATGTTGTAAAAAAAAAAAAAATTTTTTTTTAATGTTTTCTTGATAAAAGAAGCAATCTATGAAAATTATGTGATGGGGAGGGATTATGCACAGGCTAAAAAGTATTCACAGATACATGTTAATGTAGGTGACAGAGTAGGCAATATACAGCAAGAGGGAGGTTAGCAGAGGAAAGATGAAGATAGTAGGAGACACAGGGAAGAATGCAATAGTTAAGTAAATACTGTTAACTGTTGGTACATGAAGGGGGTTGCAATCATTATAATGAAGCAAAGTGTATGATTTGTTGAATATAAAACTGATGATCTGCTCTGTAAACCTTCACTGAATTAACAATAAAACGT